TTTCTTGCATCTTCTCACGGCACGCATAAGCATTTTGGTACCCAAGTATGCGGCTTCGCGCAGTGCAAGAATAAATACGATTATTTGTCGTTCGTTATTGCCTGATTCCGCGACGTTTATTTCTAATTTATTCCCGCGGCTAAATCAGAACAGGTTCTTTGCACATTTTGTTAAAAAAAATGCATCACATTTGCAAGTCTCTCTGGTTAAAAAAGAAACTCCTACTTCTTTCTGCGGACCTTTCATATTACATCGTAATAATCAACTGTCTATTTAGGACAGAGCTTGAGGAATCCAATTACTTCTCCAATCTATTTGCTGGTACGCCGAGTGGACGCTTATTTCAGAAAGACGTCAACAATAGAGTAGAGAATCTCGGAGAAAAAGCGATAACGAGCCACTTGCGACAATAGAAATTTTTTCCTCCTTTCGGCCGAATGTTACGTGTGAATATCGAAATTCTTAGCATTGCGTAAACGGTAGGTAAATAGTCATCTGAGAGCCTAATGCTGCTAATTACGACGAAACACGATGTCTAAAAGATCTCGTGAGTCACATCGCTGAGTCCTTCGGTTGCCAAAATAACAACCGGATGCATAATCATGAATAATAATGCGTGCAGTTTTACGTAACTTGTCGAAATTTATATAATCGTCGTTAACTATTAGTTACACGCCGTAAAGAAGCACGACGTAAATGTGTAAACATGACATAAGTCACTCTCTGTGGTATAATGTTATCACCGGAGAGATTTTCCCGCCTCGAGAAACGAAAGTTGTTAGAATACGCTTTCGATAATTGTGCAGATGATCCTCAGTAGCCTGTACAAACAAGCATACCAGTTTGCACAGCTATTGTCCGTTAATTGAATATTCATACAGCGAACAGTATTTACATTTTGTCAGATTACCACGCCGAACCCCCGGGGACGATGTATTTACGTCACGAAATTTCAAGAAGATCGCAGTGAAGACGAACGATTCTGAAGAACGGAGGAAATATTGAACGTTTTGTTTCCCACGTGTTGCGTTCAGTCCAACATTTTTCTTCTCGACGCTGGCGACGTTTATAAAGGGAACGTCACGTCGCGAAATGGAAAATCTCATTAAAATACTAATTCTATTACTCTCGTGGCGTATTATTATTAGTTTTACAGCGAGAATCAGTGGTATAATCAGGCGCGGAAATAAATTCACGATAATGGTATACGCGTCAGTACGTAACGTGTACTCTGAGCACCATTTCGAATTCAACCCTCGTTTCCTTGCAACGAGACCTCCGGCAGGGCAGCGGGAGTTTCGCATCGACGTCGCTTTGTGGAGGGTTGATCTGGCGGCCATGTTTGGTTAGAGAAAATTTCACAATCCCACCCTCGTGGTCGGCCTTCACGATAGCAGCTTGCACGACACGTAAACTAACAAAGGGCTATAAGCTCGTAATATTGCACGAGGGTACACGTCTCTAAAACTTGATAAATTACAATTTCGAAAATTCAACTACAAATGTTATATTAATAAACCCCGAGCGAGGGGAAAAATAAAGTTGTGTAAAATATTTTCACGATTCTTCCCGTTTATTGAATTTCTTGCAGTTTCGCGCGAAGCTGCAAGAAAGAGGAAAATGAACGGGCAGATTTTTGCATTCTACGAGCAGCTTTCATGCGCCGCTCGTGAATTTCGAAGAGATTTCATATGGACGGGTAAATGGTCGATCGAGAGGGGTGCCATGGCGACCATGTCGGTTCCCAATTAAACAAATGCCGGCAGGAACTCGAGCAACCCCTCAGGCACCGGCGTCCATCTCTCCTTGCTCTCTTGGTGTACGTCAACGAAATCTGCCCCTCTCTTTCGCTCGCTCTCCTGGCACGAGAGGGTTTCGATCGTCGCACGTGTCGTGCGGCATGCGAAACTCGAGCTGGATTCACCACGTGTGCGTTTCATTCCAACTACACTTACTCACAAAAGTTACACTGGACTACGCTTGTCCAATGCCAAACGGCAAAAATGTATGCGCGCACAAAAATATTACAGAAATTTTATGTTATCTTTAATTTTTAAATATCTATAATTCAAGAAATTATCCAATAATTAAAATCAAAGGTACGCAGTGTTTGCTATTATCTAAATAAAATTATATAGATGGTTATCTAGATAAAATTTTAGCGTTATCTTATCTTTATATAGATAATAAAAATAAGTATTATCTATATCTGCATCTTAGATGAAAGAAAGTGTTATTTTTACTAAATTATCTAAGATAACGTACAGATAATTTGGTTTAGGGCCACATAAGGTTAGCCACATAAAAATACTTAACAGTTACACTATTTAAATATGGATGGCGTTGTAGACCATGCATTTATGTGTGTGTCATACATATAACTTAAGAGGATCCCCCAAGGTCGAGGCCTTTGATGGTGTGCGCCATCTAAACACGAAACGCAGCATATACATGAGCACACGGACACACTACTACGATACATCACACCCATACATAAACACGAAAGTTTAATTCTAGCTATACTCTTATTTTAAACATCTAATCCCAATTTAGAGGGTTTCACAGTAATTCTACATGTCATCGAATCCGGGGAAACTCAGTTTCATGTGAGTACAAGTTGTAGAACTTTTATACGAAGCACAAGTATGACGGAGTTGACAGTTCGTCTACACGGTTATATGTGATCGATATATGAATTTTGTAATTTTTACTCATTTTTTGTATCAAATTGGAGTTTCCCCGGATCATCAATGCATATACTGTAATTGTACGCAAGCATTTTTGATTCCATGAATTTAATACGACGATAGGTTAGAACTACGAATGTCGGTAAAACAGACATGCTACGGGATCCTCTTAACCTGAATATATTCTATATCCCCCTTTATAATTTAAATTTTTCTATAATTTTTTTATAACTTTTTCTACTGTGTTTACATGAAGTCTTAAAAATATTATCTGCAAATTATCTAGATGAATTATCATATGATTTTATCTTTTATCTAGATATATTAAAAACGAAATCATCTTTATCTTATCTAAGATAAATTTATATATTCTTATCTTATCTTTATCTAGCTAATTTTAAAATCATCTATGCACAACACTTTAGGTACGTAAAGAGCAAATTGCAATAATTATTACATTACTGTATTAGAGCAATGTACGAAATAATATGATACAATAAAAAATATAATACAAACATTTGAGAATGCATACGCGGAAAAATCGAAATATTTTAGATTTTCCAAGAATCAAATTCCGAAAAAAAAATACAAGAAACTGCCGAGAGAATTGTCGGACGTTTTATAAACGTTCCTTTTCCTTTTATTACCGGCACCGAGTGCACGCAAATTTTTCAAACCAAGTGTACCTCCGCGTTTCTCGCATCGTGCATCGTGCGCCGATCGCCCGCGGCGTTAATGCGATCGACAGAGCACATGAATCGCGCTCGCGTAAGCGACGGTTTCGTAATCGCACACTGTCCAGCGCATTTTAATACGCGAGCCACGTCGCTAAATATCACGGCGAGTCTATGCGGAGAATCGCGCCGAAAATTTCGTAGCTACCCCACAATATTCGACGGGAGTTCGCCTAGGCGCGGGAAAGGCACGGGACATTCCGAACGTTGTCCTCTCTCGACTTCTGGATTACATTACGAGACCAAATATTGGAGCACCTCTTCAGAACATCGGCCAAACTGTTTGACTTACGCGATTGTGCGTTCGAACGACGAGCCCAGTTACTTCGTTCGGCGTAGCGGGCCGTCAGTAACCGGACGACTGTGGAGAAGCTTTGCTAATCCGAAAAGCGGCTTAAAGCAAACGCGAAGCCGATCCCGTCGAAAGGCGGGGTTTCCGACTTCCGTCGTGTGTACTTCGAGTCGAGCATTATTATCTTGTTAGCGAACAATATTCCGGAAGAATGGCTTCATTCGAATCTGCGCTCGGTGCACCGAGGAAGATGCGCGGAAAATGTATTCACTTGCCTGTTATACCTAGACGATCATGGTGCAAGGTCGTTACTTTATAAAATCATTGTCAGCGCAATGCGACGTAATAGATGTGGAAAATAAATAATCGTTCGTATAATATGCTGAAAAATTTTTATAGGATGCAGAAAGATATTACATCATATAATACAAGAAAATATAAAAAAAACCGATAGTTCTTGTGTTTTAATTTTCCTCCTGCATGATCACTTTTATAAAAGCGAATAGATAACAGTAACACGATGTAAATATTTTTAATATATATAAATTTATGTATATTTATGCTCCCTCCTACTATGCAAGGCGCGTAAGCTGTAGCAAATAAAAAATATAGAAATAATTTAATATCTGAAACATGAAGATTAATCTCTTATGCTATATAAGTAATTTTTGTAGTTATAATCTAGATTTTTTAAGCCGCTGATAACAATATATGTTTTCGTCATTAATTTGCGTATTCTTGTTGGCAGAGTGAGAAGCGTTTTCGCGATTCCGAAAGTTCTATTAGCATTTTATTAGCATTTATATGATGTTGACTAAATGTATTATACCATGTCTTAGGAAGTCCAATCATTTCTACTGTAGCGATGGTTGCTTTATCTGCCTGTTCCATTTTATCTAAAATCTAATTTGAAATGCAACAAATAATATCTCCTCGAGAAATGTGACGCCATGAAAAGTATACCACGTTATTTATGTTAACAAATGTATGTAATATTAAATTGTACAACAACCATTGTATCTTACAAATATTTAAAAATAATAGATACCTGGGAGGAAAAGTAGAGACTTTAAAAATATTTTTATATATATTTATATAATATATATTTATTTATATATTATACAATTATTTATTCATTATTATTTATTATTTATGTATTATATTATAATAATTATTAAAACAATAATTATTATTTTACAAGTTAAATTGTTTATATCCAATTGAAATATATTGGCGATATAATCCCAGATAAAAGGACTGTTAATATCGTAAAAATTGAACAATCGATACCAAAATTATACAATTTATTTAAAGTATTATATTAAAGTTTGGCTCGCACTGGCCCTCTTCCCTCCACCATACTTATTTAAAGTAATAACAGATATACTTTATTTCTTTGTGAAAAGTTTTTGATATATCTGCTGCCTCTTCGTCATCTTCTTAATTCAAGGACAGTCTGCTTTGGGGATACATGGACTGTTATCATTCGTACGCCGCGCGTATCCTTCCTTGCAATAGCAAGCATCGTTACATTTCTGGAAGAAATTAGTAAGATTAATAATATTAATCAAGAACAGAAAGACCTAAATTATATTAACATTCTGACATTTTACAAATTAATCATATCATATTATTACTAATTGTAAGTATTCATTACAAGAGCCATTTAAATTCTCGGAATTAAGAATAAATGTCACTAGCACAAAGTGAATTTTAACGCGTTAATGATTGATTTATTTATGAACGGTTTCTTTACGATGTTTATTATAGGACAAGTTTGGCCTAAATTGCTACAAGTTGTTTGGCAAGCGGATCCACATTGATATTCCTCATTTGGACGATTACAGGTAGGCTTTGCGCATGTGACTGAAAAGCGATCAGATTTCATGTATTATTATAATGCATCGTATTAATACAAGAAGAAAGGAATTAGTCCTCTAACAATACTTTATATGTTGTAAATATAGCTTAATTTTTATGCTTACAAGTAAAGCCAACGGCACACGATACTATTTTTCCCACTGGATTGCTTACGAGAATCAATAAGGATGCAGAGTTTTAGATCAAGTGACTTAAAACTAAATCCTGATTGGCTCTCGTAAGTAATCCGGTAGGAAAAGTAATATCGTGTATCGTTGGCTTAAGCCGTGAAATAAAGAATCTCCGACAAAAAACATTTATTATTTATATGCATATCAGCAATGCTTTTATAAAATGAAAATCAATAGTGTGATTAGATGTGCAATTACCTGTAGAAAGTATCGCCAATCCAGCGAGTAATATGATTATCGAGCGAGACATAATGGATTTTCCAACAACACACGATTCACAGCTTCGACTATTTCACGACTGGTGCGACTTCGTCATTTCAAGGACCTTATATATTGCCTCTCGTTGAAGCGACACAAGTCACTTTTAGCGATAAAAGTCAAGTTTTAACGGTAAAAAGTCACTTTTAGCGATAAAAAGTCACTTTTAGCGATACAAGTCATTTTTAGAAATACAAGTCATTTTTAGAAATACAAGTCAATTTTACAGGAGAACGAGTTTAAAATTTTAAGCCTGCTTGTTGATTCTTCACAGTTACAACTGCGTCATCTGCTACATTGTTTTTATCATTTTTCCTTTTCTTGCCTTGATAAATCTTTCGTTATAATATGACAAAATTTTTTCTTCTAAACGTTCTTTTACTATCATTATTTTTAAATATAATTCTCACAGCTGATCTTTTTTTTTATAATAAAAGCACGTGTTTTCGAGTGAATAAATTACAAAAATCAAAAATTTTATATATTTATTTGTGTCACTTTTCTTATTATAGCGATATGTTTGTTAGCTTTAATAGTATATAAAATTTATATCAAAGCAAATATCTGTATGCGTACAATGTGTGTTTTAACTTGTAATGTTTCACATATGTATAAACTCCTTTTGCAAATGTACCTTTTTTTCACACCTGAGACGAACGAAGTTATTTAAAGATAATCTCGCGTCTGCCGCTGAATAAGCGGCGGTAATGACAACGCATCTGGGAGGTCATCTTTTTCTTTGCCGAAGTTGATTCGTTCAGTCACCTTCATGTGTGACATGCGCACGATCGGGGAAGGCCAAAGTATAATAGAGATATTGTTTACCTGACAATGTGATTCCCCTTCTTATAACGATACGCAGACTATCTTGGATCTCAGGAAACCGGTGTGTTTTATACTGGATTATGTCATAACCCGTTGTTTTTTTGCACCTCTATTTTTACGCGCGCGTGACGTGAGCAATGAGAAAAAAGAGTCATTATTAATTACCTTCACTAGCAAATTAGATGTGCGTTATTTTAACGTTAATATACACATGTTCAATAATATTTTATTATTGCGGGTGAAAGTTTATAATAAGATAGATATCTTATTTGTACTACGTGTGTGTTTGATGCTTTATATGTTAGATTCCATATATGTATAATATTTCATTTATCGAAATATTTAATTATCGAAAAATTGTTATATAAATAAGGAAATTTTATAATATCTTACGTATGTTAATGATAGAAAAAGAAGCTTGTATAATACGAGAAAATAAAACATAATAATAATAAAATACAGCAGAAACAAAATCTTGTAGCTTACAAAATTAATTAATTTTATTAATATTATTAACGCAAATGATAATGATGCATTCCGCGTTGACATGGAATAAACTTATTGGAATATCTAGTTCAGATACTCTGTGACTTGTGCATATCTCTTGTCGGATTGCGGTCAGTAAAGTTACGATGGGGTCAGTGGGACAGAGTCACGATAGTTATCGTCTACTTGCTGCTCGATACAAAGGTTGGGCGGTGAAAGCAGCGTAATAGGGCACAGGGTGAGAGCAAGTACGAAGGTTGACCGGAAAGCGAAGGCAAGCGAAGGAGCGGGAAATCTCGAGGATCCCCGATCGAGTTTTCCGCTGTCAGAGCCGGGTGGTGCGTCGTGAAATGCTGAATAGGACAATCGAGACAATGGGGGAATGGTACGTGGGACAATTACATGCCGGGTTTTCCAAGTAATTAAGTCGTCGGCCCGCCGTTGAAAGCCATTTTCGTTCGTGCGTTCGTTTCTTCGAATTCCTGCATGATATAGTAATCACGACTGCAGCCATTCGCCTCTTGGGAGAAAAATAAGATAAGTTCTTTCGCAAGAATCACGTTTGATACGAAGAATTCGGTATTTACATCGCGGACAGCAGTGTAAATAAGTCGATAGATTTACTTTTTCAGACGTTGCAGATGGGCTTTTTATGATTTTCTAGGCAAGTACGTGAAAATCATCATCAATCATCTTAAAGTTATTCAAGTTATCCAAGTCCAATTTGAGAAAGGAAAAAAATACTTCGATCGAAGAATGTGGCACGCGCAGACAATAATTCAATTCCCCATCTAATAAATTCGATTTGAATCGCCGAATACTCGATTCTCAGCACTCTTTACGCAGAATAAAAAAAAAGTATGTGCCAGGAGAACGAGGGAGAGCAGAAGGGTCAGACTGAGAGTCAGACTGATTCACTTGGGCCATCTCGCCGATGGCGAAATGGCATTTAGGGTAAAAGCGTGTTCGGAAAGCGGCCGGATTGAGCGACTGTCGAGCTTACGCCGACAAAGTGGACACGTTTTGCAAGCCCGAAACTTTCCGATTGATCGAACGAGAGTTACATCCTGCCCGTATCCTCCCGATTCTAATTGCTGAACGTCGGAATTTAATAATTTACTTTTTCAAAAATTGTAACGACCACGTATTTACGTGAAATCTTGCCACTTTTTATCAGACCGACTGATCTTTAATCGCTGGCAGATGAAAAACGTAACGCGATTACGCAATAGCGGTATACATGGATGGGGAGTACCATCCGAGAAATAAAGAAAATGAGACATCTAACGAGCCGCTGCGGATAATACATATTTTAATTAAAACACACAGAGAGATTTCCTTTGATACACTGAGAAAAATGTCCGATTAAATATAATCGGATAATCCAATTACATAATAACAAACGGATATATCCAATTAAATTGTATATTCGATGAAAAATGTGATCGGTTTATTAATAAAATTTCGTCGGTAACTACATTTCATCAGATAAATTTCATCGGATGTATCCATAATTTAATCGGAAAAATCAACCACCGGAAACACTATTTAATTGGTTTATCCGATGAAAATTTTTCTCAGTGTATGTTTTATTCTAATAATCACTGTTTCTGAAATGTGCAGTAACGAATCTGAGATTACTTTTCGATTAGCAAATAAAAAATGTAAGATAAAAGTAGTAACATGGCGCATAAAAATAAACGTAACAATTATGCGTTGTTAAAGTGCCATTAATAATATTTCTTCACATTATGACAAAATTTATACGCTGGACTTCTACGTAATGTTTTCGCTAACGATAATAAACACGGATTGTACGTGTATGTATGTATGTGCCAGCGAATGCAGACGCTGACGCAATAAGTTAGATAGTAGATTATAATTTTCAAAACCAGACGTGTGTGTTCAAGGTTAGCTAACAAAGTTGATGGTATATAAAAGCGCGTCTTACATGAGTAGCATCAGTCCACGAAATAATAGTGCAAAGATTACTAATCATGTCTCGCGCTAGTCTCGTATTGCTTGTAATGATTGGAGTGTTTTGCAGTAAGTGTTCACAAGAATTTGTTACGTTTCCTCAGTTCTACGACTGAGGATATTTCAAATTTCAGATGTCATTTTTTAAATTTTAACTTCATATTATAAGTAGACTTGATCGTAATTTGTATAACTCTCAGGCACAACTATCGCGCAACGCCGGTGTCCGAGAAATCAAGAGTGGACCAATTGTGGATCGGCATGTCAACCAACTTGCAATTCGCCGCAACCTCAAGCCTGCACTATGGTATTTATTTCATTTTGCCGAATACGTGAATACCGTCGACAATTGTATTTACTTCCTTTCAAGCGAAAACGCTGGATGATTAAGTGTGGAATATTTCTTTAATTATGTATCTTACAATTATTATATCAATATTTTTACTATTCTTTTACTAATACTATTCTGACACTGTTATCTTTTTTCAGCAATGCATAATAGGATGTCAGTGCAGACAGGGATTTTTGCTACATTCCTCAGGAGCATGTGTGTCCCCTTCAGACTGCTAAAAATTAACCAATGTGAGCTTACTGAGGAGCTGAGAAATTTTGCTTGACACGAGATTTTTGGAAAAATTTTAATTAAAATTTCAAATTCTTGATTTAACTAAAAATAATGCTAATTAACATACTAGTTTTAAGATGCATTAGATTTGACATATTACTGGTGGTTTTTATATATGTATATATTGACTAACAGTCGAACAAGATAAGATTATTAATATGTTCGTCTCTGTATTAATATTACATATCTATGTTCTTTCTAAAATTTTTAATAAAAAAATAAGAATTGCTTACATCTGTTAAACCTTTTTTAAGGCTTCCTTAACGAAAAACATGCTCTACCTTATACAATTCGTATTTTTATATATTTGTAAGTAATTAATATTGTTATAAATTAAAAGTAAAATAAAGAAGAAAGAAAATATGTAAAAATATAGAAATGAATGCAATTATTTATATAACCACGAAACGATTACATTTTGACAGTTTGCGAAAAAATATACCTAAAGAAGATTAAAGAATTTGTGCTGTAACAAGGACATTATGGACACGTTGCCGTTCTATTACAAAGAACACAGTGTATGTTTAATATCCGTAATTTGGAAGAAAATTGCGCTTGTATCAAACATGATGCACCTAACCTTGCTACTAAAGATAAAACGTTCGCAAGTAAGAGAAATTAAAGTTAAGTAACTGACTGACAATGAGTGAAGGACAGAATGATACTGACGTAAAAAAATGCAAGAAAAATTAATCACAATGTATTGAAATAAAATGTACATGGCAACATTATATGCAGCTATCCTAATTTTTTAAAATGCAGATACAATTTGAAAAACATTTTAAGGGAATACAAACTGTAACAAATACTTTATTATTTTATACGTTGTTTTATTAAGAAAAAAAACACTTTATGTCTAATACTTGTAATTTGTAAGAAAATTGTAAACATTGTACTCTTATCAAGTATATAAAGGCTACGGAAGATAATTATTTGTCGGAAAAATGCATTATGATGAAAATTCCGAACTATTTAAATTATTTTAATCTACAAAAAACACATTGAAAGAGCACTTATAATAGGCATTGCACTGTAACAAGGACATTATTGACACGTTGCCGTTCTATTACAAAAAAAGACATTGTATATTTAATATCCGTAATTTGGAAAAAAATTGTATTCTTATCAAACATAATGCACCTAACCTTGCTACTAAAGATAAAACGTTCAAGTAAGAGAAATTAAAGTTAAGTAACCGACTGACAATGAGTGAAGGACAGAATGATACTGGCGTAAAAAATGCAAGAAAAATTAATCACAATGTATTGAAATAAAATGTACATGACAACATTATATGCAACTATTCTAATTTTTTAAAATGCAGATACAATTTAAAAAACATTTTGAGGGAATACAAACTGTAACAAATACTTTATTATTTTATGCGTTGTTTTATTAAGAAAAAAAACACTTTATGTCTAATACTTGTAATTTATTAGAAAATTGTAAACATTGTACTCTTATCAAGTATATAAAGGCTACGGAAGATAATTATTTGTCGGAAAAATGCATTATGATGAAAATTCCGAACTATTTAAATTATTTTAATCTACAAAAAACACATTGAAAGAGCACTTATAATAGGCATTGCACTGTAACAAGGACATTATTGACACGTTGCCGTTCTATTACAAAAAAAGACATTGTATATTTAATATCCGTAATTTGGAAAAAAATTGTATTCTTATCAAACCTAATGCATCGACCTTGCTACTAAAACTTAGAAAAACTACAAGTCAAACTGTTCTCGATAGACTCTCAATTTATGGTCTTATTTTAAAAATAAAAAATAAATTATATTTAAGTTATAGAATATATTGAAGGAAACATATACAAAAAAATTTGAAATTTGCTGTAATAATTATACGTCATGTAAATGATAAATCCATTCATAAGCAAAAACAAATATGTACTGCTATACAGAATGATTTAGAAGATTGTTCACAATAGTTTTGAAATGTTGCTATAATATTGTCCAAACTTTATTGTAAATGTAGTATGAATAATGTAGTATGAGTGGATTCTCCCAAACATATCTTGCAATTTAGCCTCGATGGTAGAAGGCCATTTATCCATATAGTAGATCACTAGATCATCCGCAAACGCAATTGAACATGGGATATTCCGCATTTGAATTTAATAGTTTTATGTACATCGCTACGAGAACTTGTGCTCCGAACGTGATTTGACTGTTGACGAACGTGTCGGTCTTGGAAGAAAGCATAAGTCAACGTTATTGTAATTTAATTATTAATAAGACGCATATTTATAAATCAACGATTTTTATAATTATGCGTTGGATGAGAATTTGTATGTTCAACGTGATTTTACCGTCAAGAACTTGAAAATCACGTGAAATGAGTGAATTAAAAAAAAAGAAATTGCCAACAGTACACGGTGTTCCCAAACGGTCACCCATTTAAGTACTAACCGCGCTCAACGTTGCTTAACTGAAGTGATTAGACGAGAACTTGTGCTTCGAACGTGATTTGACCGTTGACGAACGTTGTCGATCTTGGAAGAAAGCATAAGTCAACATTATTGTAATTTAATTATTAATAAGACGCATATTTATAAATCAACGATTTTTATAATTATGCGTCGGATAAGAATTTGTATGTTCAACGTGATTTTACCGTCAAGTAACTTGAAGATCACGTGAAA